GAGCCTTCCTCATCCAGCCTATGTTGTCACGTCTTTAATATTATCAATATTTTTTTTCTTGTTATACACATATATTGAGATATTAATACTACAGTTTAATAAAGTAGGTTTCAATATTCCAGAGATGTATTAAATAGTCCTTATACTACTAAATTATAAGTCGGATACTGTTTAAAAAGGATAAGTTCTTTACAATATGACAACACCGATTAGAGGCGAGGGAGCCTATTCATTCATTTATTACCTTGTAGTACGTGTTGCACGTGTGCGGTAAAGCTTTGTTGCCGCTATCTCCCCGGCTGTATTAACGAATTTTCTTAGCTTGTAGTCCTTAAGTATTTATTTTATTGACTTTTTCTGTTCAAGAACTATAAAATATGGTTCGCCAGTGCCTAATTTGCAAGAAATTTGACTTAAATAATCCAATTAAGTCTTGAAACGACTTTCGACCGGTAGGCAACTCTCAATTTACCCATTAGGAGTCAGTGGCGTTGTTGTAGAAAGGCGCTTATTTAGATAATATTTTAGTAAAATGTAAAATCTGAATTTTTTCTCTTACATTACAATATTGACTTACTTACATTGTAACAAAATCATAATTATAACCCTGTTAATAATTAATAATGTTTTTATTAAAAATATATTCCGGTTTATTCTAAAATTATCTTCAGAATCTAAAATAACATACAAGAATTTTAAAATGATATTACATTATGAAACAATATTTTTTAAGATACCGGGTCGTCTCAAAAGTGGCTCGCCCCTATAACTTTTTATTTTTCAGATACAAAAAAAAATTGTATGTTAGTAGGTATATGACATAAATTAGATTTATTGACGTATTCAATTGTTTTGGTCTCTTCCTGTTTCACCGAAATGATTACATCTTTTGATTTTTAAATGGCACCCTCGGTATATTGCTACTTTATTCGATAAAAAATGACACTCTGAATAGAATGACTATCATATGTCAACTTTTGACATTGTCGCTTAAAAACAAATCGTATTTTAAACTTCAATCTAGGGTGCCATGGTGTTGTTAAAAACACTAAGTTTTAATCAAGGAGCCTTGGAAAAATAATTTTGATCGTCTAATGGGTTTCGTGTCTTGTTTAGGCCGGTTAAAAGATGTACAAATCGTAGTTTTAATCATACATATGTCAATTTTTTCAAATGGAACAAGGGAGACTCATTAGCATATTTGAAAAAAGCATTTTTTATGAATATATTGATACCACACACTTGGTATTTCGAGTCAAATTGTCGTTATGAACCGCGTGTTACAATTACAATTAAAACCATATGCGAAAATGTCAAAGTTGACATATTATGCTATGTCATTCTATTCAGAAATCAATATTATTATTAAAAATTAAATTGTTATCATTTTCTATCGAATAAAGTAGAAATATACCGAGGGTGCCATTTAAAAATTAAAAGTTATATTCATTTCCGGTGAAACAGGAAGTGACCAAAAACAATTGAAGCGTCAATCAATCCTAATTTATGTAATTTTTTATTTGAAAATATAAAAAAATTATGAGGATGAGCCACTTTTGGAACGCACCCGGTATAATAAAGACAGTACCGAGTTAAATAAATGTAGTTTTGATATTATCCACTTCCTATCACCTTCCTTGCTTTAATGGAACAGATTTATGTTTTCTCTAATTTACATAATAAGACGTCACTTAACCAGAAAAAAAATTACAAAAATCATATTTTTTTTTTCTCTCCCTGTCGCCGATTCTATTATATCTGTGAAATAGATCCTGTTTTGATTAATATTAGGGGTTGTAAATATTTGACTAAAATTAATAATTTATTATTAATTTCAAAAATTACGTAATTTCGATTATAAAATTTCTTCTATAACGTGTTTTTTATTATTGTTATCCTTTTTGGACTCTAAGACGTTTTTTTCTAAACTTTTATTCAAAAAACCAGTCCTAATATTTAATAAAATATTTAAATACGATATATTTTTAATTTAATTATAGCTTCATTAAAATAAAAAAGTTACCCGGCTATGATACGGAGAGTTCAGGTGTACTTGAGAAACGAAAGACAGTGTTGTGTTTCTCGGCAGAGTCGTCAGGGAACGACCGTTATGACATAGACAACCTATATATCGCTCGTGTCGCACTCGTTATAACCTAAAACAATAACACAACAATAACAAGACGTTGTCTGACCGCATGTTCCAGCTATTTATGAATGAGATGCTCAGTCTATATTTTATTTTAAGTCTATGGTTTAAACATTTATTTTATTAACCCGTATTTTAAAATTCAATCTAGAGTCCCATGGCTATGTTTTTTAAAAAATTCTTAATCAAGGAGCCTTGGGAAAAAAAAATTGATCGTCTAATGTTTTTAGTGTCTTGTCCTGGCCAGTTAGGAAATGCTCAAATCGTATTTTTAATCATATCTCAATTTTTTCATATGGAACGAGGGTGGCTCATTAGCATATTTGGAAAAATCATTTTTTTATGAATAATTTGATACCACACACTTGGTATTTCGAGTCAAATATTCGTTACGAACCGCAAGTTATAATTTCAAATACACCATATGCGAAAATGTCAAAAGTTGACATATGATATGTCATTCTATTCAGAGTGTTATTTTCTTTCGAATAAAGTAAAAAAATACCGAGGGTGCCATTTAAAAATCAAAAGTTATAGTCTTTTCCGGTGAAACAGGAAGTGACCGAAAACAATTGAATACGTCAATTAATCTTAATTTATGTGATATACTAACATACCAAATCTCGTTTTTTAACTGAAAAAATAAAAAAGTTATAGGGGTGAGCCACTTTTGAGACGCACCCGGTATATTAATATTAATTATTAAGAGATTTTTATTTTCAGCATTTACTGCAGTTTTTAACAAAACATTATTTACAGTAATTTCAAATTCTAATAGAATCTTTTAAAAATTTAATACTTTTTCTTTTGAATCTATCACCTCATAATTTCATATAATATGACGCTAATATATTAATAAAATTCCTACAAATAAAATTATATTATTTGAGTTCTTGGCAGCTTCGATTTATTTAGTAATAATGGTTTCAATATTTTCTCTACCTCTTGTACAATGTTGTACTAATAATTTTTTGAAAGTTAAATTGTTAACTGGAAGATTTTGTATCAAATAACAAAAATTAATAAAGGAAAAAATATCGCATTCACATTTAGAAAATACATTGTAAAATTTTGGTGGTACATATTTTGAATTAAAGCTATTTAAAATCAGAAATAATTACGTAATCATTAAATGCACGCTTACGTTAAGGTGAGGGCCATCTAAAGAGAAAAAATATCAACCAGTTTTTCAAATGGAAATGGAAATCCTATAGTATTGATTTCCTCTAAGCTAAAGAAGAAAGATACCCGAGTAAATTTTCCTCGGTTGGTGTTTTTGCCGCCAGATGGCCTATTCCACGCGAATAAAAATCAATAGTTTTCAAACCGTATTCCAAAAGTGCCCTCTAGGCAACAGTATTTTGAACTGTGTTTATTGATATTATTTTGAAATTATCACGATACCTACCTACTTGTAATTAGGTTAAAAAGCTATAAAACTTTTCTAATCCAACTTTATACAGGGTTGTTCACCAAATAGGACACGGAATATTGTAGCTAAATGATTAGATTTTTGCAAATTGTAAGTTTTGGGTTCGTTGAAGGACTATGAGAGCTACAATTTAAAAATATCTTTACAAGATACAGAGCGTCCCATTAATGGTATAAAGATTTAAAATAAGATTTAAATAGTCTTCTTTTTGTGTACAAATGGGCTAATAATATTATCGTTCTTAGCACCTGTACATGTTGTACATTTGTTCCTTAAAAAAACAGTCTAAAATGTCAATTCCATAGGTATATTGATAAATGGGGGCTAAATTATAAAAAAAATGAATTTTCTACGAAAACTTGAAGGTATAGGTAAAAAATGGTATAATACAATTTGATAGACAATTAAATTGTGCATCTGATTCTCCTAAAATATTCAGGGCGTTCATTTTTAATTAAAAAGATATTTCCGTTTTAAGCTAGAAATTATTTAAAATAAATTTTTAGAAACTCTGTATGAGGTAGTATTATTTTTATTATTGCAACTTACAACACAATAACTGATTAATAAATACACTCACTTCAGTAAATATTTAGTATTAAAAACTTTGATACCCTAGGAGAAATGAAGCCTTCAATGTTTTACTGCAATTTCATAAAATTGAAAATATTTCAAAAACGGTAATGACTGGCTATTTCTAAAAACGAGAGAAATATTAGGTTGTTTTATCTTTATATCGAAGTGGGTGGGGGAAGAAGAAGAAGAAGAAGGGTCTTGATTTTGTGATTGACCTATTTGCCTAATTATTTATAACTCAATATAATGTTGTATATTACTATTTATATCTGTATAATGAAAGATTTCTGAATAGGTAAATTAACAAACTGAACTATTAACTATTATTATTAATATTCTTTTACTCAGTAGTTTTATACAGGTGCGGACGAAAAGTTATTAGTCTTCAAAATAGTTAAAACACATGTAGGTGGCGCCCCCTACAAGTTGGAGTCATTGACATTAAAATCAAATTGCTCATGTCAAAAAACTCCCAGACGCCAATTTTTATCCAAATATTGAAGAAATTATTTGGAAAAAATCGAAATAAAAATGAAAATTCTACACCCTGTATCTCCGAAGCTAAGCCTTTTAGGACATACATTTATACGAACTTTTTTGCTTATTTTTATCTGCAGTATATGCTGCCGAAGTTTCCGGAATACCGTTCGGGCCACCCTGTATATCCATTTTAATGCAAAATCTGATCGGGGATTTTGTATGTAAAATTCGTTAACGAATAGAAGTTGGGAAAACAAACTTCTCGAAAAATGCCTCTTAATGATGAAAAGACGTGTACTATATATTAACATAAATACCTATAATAAGAATATATAAACCAGGCTATAATCAATAACCGCTTACCCTAAAGTCTTCGTCGATATCAGTGGAGTTTTCAGGCTGAGGAATCCGTTCAAACGCGACTTCTTATCTTCGGCAGCGATACGATTCCCTTCCGCTTCTTCTTCTTCCTCTTCTTCGCGCTTGCGGCGCCTCTTCTGGAAGAAATAGCAAGCAGCTCCAGCCCCGGCCAAGATAATCAGCGCCGCTATGGAGGAGAAGACCGCCGTCAGAATTACATCCCGTTTTTCCATCATCAACTGAAAAAAAAGGAAAAAAAATCATAATTTTTTATTTTTTGAGTTGTGAAAAAATGGCAATTTAGTTTAAATAATCGTAAAATATATCGATTTTAGCGTTTTCTAGTATAAAGATTTCAATTTATGACGTCATTTGACAGAAATAACAAGAATTAAAAGTGAGGTTATGTGGTGGAGGGGATGAAAATTATAAAACGTAAATAATAGATTAAGTGTATAGATTTAAATTTTTGAGTTCATTCGACATTTTTAGTATACAGGGTGGTCCGAACTGTATTCCGGAAACTTCGGCAGCATATTTTACAGATAAAAATAAGTAAAAAAGTTTGTATAAATATATATCCTAAAATGCTTAGTTTCGTAGATCAGGGTCTAGAAGTTTCATTTTTATTTCGATTTTTTCCAAATTATTTCTGTAGTAACGTCAATATTTAGATGAAAATTGGTGCCTGGGAGTTTTTTGACATGAGAAATTTTATTTTGATGTCAATATGATTCCTACTAGTAGAGGGCGCCACCTACATGTGTTGACCTTTGAATAAGAAGACTACCCATATAAAACACAATATCCGCAGGATATTCATAGAATGTCGGAATGTCCCATTATAAGATCATCTTATAAAGACATCTATAGGATATCCTCCAGATATCCTGAAATCCTGTAGATGTCTCAGAATAGAATATCCTATTGATATCTCTGTCGTATATCTAATGTACATCCAGCTGAGATATCTAAACATGCTCATGATAATAAAATATCCTAACAATATCGTCTAGATATTTAGGAAAAATAAATCATGTACTACTTTTTATATTACATAAAATGCAATAAACTCCACAGATAGATATATATTACGTCAAAGCAACAAAATATCCTGTTGGTATCTTCTGGATAATCTGGATATTTATGAGCTTGGCCACTCCCAGTAATACAGAGAATTTAAAACGCCCGCGCAAAAAATTTCCCACAATCCATCTCGACAGTTTGTTTTTGCGTCGTGTATTATTCAGTTCTTTGATTTAGTGAAATTCGAGGTGAATTCGGTCGTTTGTCGATATTAAATGGGCTTAAAAATGACTGAAACTAACAAAACTGGTTGAGTTGACTTAGTTTTTTCTTATACTCATAGTTCTAGCCTTGTTCTAGCAGAAATTCTATCCTAACCTCAACTAATATCGAAAAACGACGAACGACTCAGGGTCTCACAATGAAAAATTTGTGACAAAATTATAAGTGAAAATTTGTTGAAACGCGATTGTTCTTTATCCCTAAACCCATTTTCGTGTTAGATCTATTCAAACACAAATCCTATTTTTGTGTTTAAATTGTGAGTTTCTGGAATGTGTGGTGTTAGAAATTATACCTGTATCCTGTGTGCCAACTTTGATGTAAACTGTTGCTGCTAGACATAAACTGTTAGACTCCATAAAGGGTAGTATAATCTGGTATACCATACGATCGAAAAAAAAACGGCGTCAGAGCTGGCTTGGAAATGAAGATTGCTGTTATTTTGTATGTAAAATTATATGGGGAATGGCATCGATTGTAATTTTCAAGCCAATTGAATGCCGTTTTTTTTTCGATGGTACAGTATAAATTGAAAGCTCTTAACTCATACAAATAAACTTCTAAATTTTGACGCAAAATTCATTGACATAATATGTGGGTATATTTTAGAGCTGTTAATAAAAATATCCATGAATAACGTCAAAATGTGACTAAATAAAACTAAATCGCGAACGTTTTTACTATAAACTAAGAATGAAGTAAGTATTGTCAAATAACAGTCCTCATATAATGTCCTAAAAATATTCTATAATGCTCCCAACATCATCCTTGTATTATCCTATAAATATCCCAAATAATCGTAAAAGGCTTGCCTAGGGATGTCTTGAAGATGACTTTTTTTGTCCCATCTGGATATCCCATAAATATCCTCCTCTGGTTTTTGGATATCCCTAAGATATTTACTATATCCTTGGTGGATATCCTCAAGATATCTATAGGATTGCGTTGTGTTATATGGGTAAGGAAGAAGCATAATACTGTCCATGTATTCATGCATGGTGGGCGGAAAAAGCACTCTAGGGTGGGAATCCTTGACAGTTCTGTTTGACGATTCATTTGACACATTTGAATTTAATTTGAAATTTTGTGGATTTGTCAGTCTTTACGGAGCTTATTTTATGTTATTTATTATTTATTCTACTACTGATGGTTGTATAAAGATAGTAAATCTAGATGGAAATTGTGGCAGAACTTAAATTAACAGTGACACTATCGCGATTTATCGAAAAAGACTCTAAAATAGTTGGTTGTGTAGCGTGCGGTAGATCTCGGGAAAAATTGAGTGAAATAATGGGAACAACTTTTCGCTAGTGACTATATAATATACATACGTGTAGTAAACCGATCATTTATGAAATTCACTTAAATTAACTAAATTATATATTTTTCTTGCATTTTAGCTTATTACTTGTCAATGATTAGATGCCAAAGAATTTAGATACGTTAATTTGACTTACCTGCTTCAATAGCGTATCGAATGTTTGTGTTAATAAATACTTATTATTACTTATCTATTTTTATTAGAATTATATATTTTTATAACAATTTTAATAACTACCAACATTTATTCACAACGTAAAATAAAACAACAAATTATTGAGTCTACCCCACGTCTACCCTACATCATAGTTTTACATTTTTTAAATAAAATTAGAACGACACTGATAAACCGGAATTTAAGTCGGCCATATTTGAGGCCCATCGCGGTGTACTTAAGATTTTTGATATGCTCCTTCCTTAATCTTCTTATTCAAAGGTTTTGACTGTTTTGAAGCGTAATAACTTTTTGTCCGTACCTGTATAAAACTACCGAGTGAAAAAATATACATCTCTGTGACTTTTTACGTAAAAAATAACTCTTTGTAAAAATCGCTACGACCAACCGTTCTCAAGATATTTAGAATAGAAAGAGTCAATACATGTCATTATTGACGAAAAATTGACACACATTGGGAGTAGATTGTTATTTCACTGATAATAAATTTGGGAAATTTTAATTATTTTAAATTAATCATAAATTTTTCTGCAAAAAATGACGATAAAACAGTTTTGTTGAACTTTTAGCACAAAAACATTTCAAATGTATGATTTCAGTCTAATAACTATTTAGTCAACATATTTAATTTATGTCAATGATGACAGGTATTGATAATTTCGATACCGTATATCTCGAAAACCATTACCCGTAGCAATTTTTACCAAGAGACCTTTTTCACGTAGAAAACGTCGTAAATGTATATTTTTTGACTCAGTAGTTTTACAAAAGTACGGACGAAAAGTTATTACTCGTCAAACCAGTTAAAAATATGTAGGTGGTGCCCTCTATTAGTAGCAGTCACATTGACATCAAAATCAAATTAGTCATGTCAAAAAACTCCCAGGCATCAATTTTTTTTTCATCCATATATTGATGTTACTTCAGAAATTATTTGGAAAAAATCGAAATACAAATGAAACTTCTACACCCTGTATCTCCGAAACTAAGCATTTTAGGACATACATTTATACGAACTTTTTTACTTATTTTTATCTGCAGAATATGTTGCCGACGTTTCCGGAATACAGTTCGGACCACCCTGTGTAGAACAATCACTATAGAATCCAAGGACAAATAACACCCGAGAGCTGTTTGAAGAGATCTATATTTTTTGATAAATATTTTGACTACGCCTATGGTGTATACGGTGGTATCATACTAATTAATTACGAAAAAAACGTATTAAAATGTTAAAAAAGGTGCAAAACGAGTATCGATGTATAGCACACATCAAGTACAAGATGTCCCACTAAGAATAGCTCTCGGGTGTATCTCAGAAAGTATTAGCCGTAGGGGCTGCGGAAAAAAATTATAACTAAAGAGGCTATGAGAAATTGCTGGAAATTATTTTCAAGTTTGTAGAAAAACCGCTAGGGGGCGCAACTCCAACAAAAAATAAGGAAATGGAGTTTTTGCACAATTTTGCCTAGATAAGGTGTACAGGGTGTCCCATTTTGGTTGAAATCATACGGTATCTCCGTTATTCGTGAAGATAGAAGGGTGCGGTTTGCACATACCTGTGCCACTTTTTTGTCAAATGGAAGATGCCGTAAACAAAATTTTCATTGCCCTCTTCGTTTCTGAACTACAGGGTCTTTTTGAAAATTTTGCAATTTGGGATACCTCCCGTATCTCTGTTATTGTTAAAGGTATTGAGACGGTGAAAACCGTTTATAGTAGAACTTTTTACGTAAAATACAATGGTGTAGTGTGTTATTCTACGAAAATAATATTTTTGAAGATATTTACTAAAGTTATGTTTTATTAAATGGAACACCCTGTATATTTATGAATTATATAATCTGGCTTGTTATAAGCCTCTCAAAAATATATAATACTCTATATTTGTTTTCCTTATTTAAGGCAATATTTAAAAAAACATATTAAAAGATCATTTTTTTAGTAGGCCATGATTGATAATAAAAGAAACTAAAGAATTATTAAGAGTAATACTGCTATCTGTCTTTTGTTTTATTTTGAGAGCCACTAATTAATTCTTTGTATATTAGGGAAACTTAAATCTCTACCGCTATTTGTAAATCTTGGAAGCTATTGTATCGGAAGTTTTAAATATTCCTTTAGGTAATTTACCTGAAATATACTTTCAGCAAGATGGGGCTCCCCCTCACAACTTAACTTACAACGAAAATATTAGAATTTTGTTAAATTATTATTTCTCAAATCAATGAATTGGAACCAATGTACCCATATGATGGCCTCCCTGATTCCCGGATTTGTCTGTTCTCGATCTCTGATTTTGGGATTTTTGAAATATGAAATATATCGTGGCAACAATACGATGTTAAACACCTGAAAAATGCTTTAATAATGCAAGCTTTTAGATATTTGCAAACCCATCCCATTATAATAAATTCAGTTATAAAAAAG